GTTGCGCTCGTTCCCATCAGGCAGCCCAGTGCACCCTCAAGAAACCCTGCAGCCTGTGTCAGGGTCGTCATTTGCAGGTCCTTCATGACATTAATTCCAAGCCATAACAGACCTTAGGCCCAGCGTCTACTCCCCCACGAGAAAGTGAGAATCCTACAGGCGTCCTGTACCTCGACCGTCCTACAGAGAGCAGCCAAGTTCTGTTAAAGGTTGTCCCAGTCATTCTTCACCATAATGGCAAGACCTTGAGCACTCACGCAGTTTTGGATGATGGGTCAGAGAGGACTATGCTGCTGCCCACCGCTGCCCAGATCCTTGACCTTCAAGGCATTCGAGAGACCCTTCCATTGCGCACTATCAGACAAGATGTGCAAACTCTGCATGGCTCATGTGTCTCATTTGAGATCTCTGCAGGTGGCAAACCTAAGCTGAGGTACAAGGTCCGCAACGCCTTCACCGCTACCCGTATCGACCTAGCCGAGCGCAGCTATCCTGTGGAGTCCTTGCAGCGGAAGTACAGACACCTCAGAGGCCTGCCTCTCCAGGCCTTTAAGAAGGTCAAACCCCTCCTTCTCATTGGCAGTGACCACCCACAGCTCATCACTCCAACTGAAGCTGTTCGTCTCGGTCCACCGGGTGGTCCCGCTGCTATGCGCACCAGGTTAGGGTGGACACTACAGGGCCCCTCCAGCCTTATCGGTTCCTTTTCGCTGCCACAACAGTGCCTATTCACGACCGCCATCCCTCCTCAGATGAGTGAGTTACTCAAACATGTGGAGAAGTTATGGCAGGTAGATGTCGTCCCAGTACCAGAAGGCAAAGTGGTTACTCGGTCAAGAGAAGATAACTATGTAGTTAACCTGTTGGAGCAGAAGACAGTTCGTGTGGATGTTGAGGGCATCCACCGCTATGCCACCCCCCTCCTTCGCCGCCAGAACATGCCACACCTTAAAGCTAGCCCTAACATAGTCGTTCCCAGTTTGAGGAGTGTGGAGAGAAGGCTCCAGAAAGATCCATAGCGGGCTAAGATCTACGGCGCGGAAATAGAGAAATTGGTCCGGGCCGGTTCGGTGGTTAAGGTGGCCCCCTCTGAGGTTGCTCCAGCAGATGAGTCATGGTACATCCCTCACCACCTTGTTAGTCACAATGGCAAAGATCGCCTTGTGTTCAACTGTTCGTTCCAGTTCCAAGGCCAAGCCCTCAATGACCATCTTCTACCTGGGCCGACCCTGAGCGCCTCGCTCCTTGGTGTCCTCCTTCGCTTTCGTGAGCATGCCGTAGCCATTAGTGGTGACATAAAGGGTATGTTCCACCAGATTCGCCTCCTTCCTGAAGACTGTTCCCTTCTGCGGTTTGTGTGGCGGGATCTGCACCCTGAGGCACCTGTGGCTGTCTATGAATGGCAGGTCCTCCCCTTCGGTACAACCTGCAGCCCATGCTGTGCAACCTTCGCTCTGCAGCGCCACGTCAGGGATCACACTGACAGAGATGATCCAATACGTCACTCTGTGGGACAGTGTTTCTATGTTGATAACCTCCTTCAGAGTGTACCAACCCCTGAAGAAGCTCGGGACCTAGTGGACCGGCTAAGAGCCCTCCTGTCTTCGGCTGGATTTGTCCTTCGCCAGTGGGCCAGTAATGAACCCAGCACCATTGGCCACCTACCTGAAGACCTCAGATCCACAAGTGCAGGACTTTGGCTCACTCAAGACAAATCAGACACCTCCGAGCCAACTCTGGGCCTTAGCTGGCACTTCCCCACGGACATTTTGGGGTACAAGCACCGCAAAGTCAGTTATGGCACCCCCACTATGCGGAACATTTATAAGGTTCTCGCAAGCCAGTACGACCCACTTGGCTTCATCCTACCGTACACTACCCGAGCCAAGATGCTGGTGAGGCGCCTTTGGGATCAGCAGAGGGGGTGGGATGACCCGCAGCTTCCGCCAGAACTGCTACAGCAGTGGAAAACTTGGGAAGAGGAGTTGTCATTCCTTGCACAAGTCCTGCTTCCTCGCCCTTATCTCCCAAAGCACATCACGGAGTCAGCCAGTGAGAGAGAGATTCACATCTTCTGTGATGTGTCAGAACAGGCTTATGGTGCAGTGGCCTATATGAGAACAGTGACGGGTGATGGCAGCTCCCATCTGGCCTTCTTGATGGCCCGCTCCCGTGTTGCCCCCAAACGCATTCTCTCCATACCCAGACTCGAACTGTGTGGTGCCCTCTCTGGAGCGCACCTCTCCCGTCTCCTTAGAAATGAGCTCACCCTGGACATGGAGAGAATAGTGCTGTGGTCTGACTTCACCACTGTACTCAACTGGTTGAGGTCCGAGTCATGCCACTTCAAGGTCTTCGTCGGCACCCGCGTGGCTGAGATCCAGGAAATAACTCAAGCGCACAACTGGCGCTATGTGGATTCAGCCCAGAACCCCGCGGATGATATAACCCATGGAAAGACCCTTTTGGACCTGGCCAGACCCAACAGGTGGAGTCAAGGGCCTCCTTTCCTGCTCCTAAGTCCAGAGCAGTGGCCTCCAGAGCCGAGCGGCACCCTGGCTGAGCCACCAGGCTCATCTGAGCTCCGCAAAGAGACCTTTTGTGGAGTTTCTACCACCTTTGACCCCGCCACCTCGAACTTCAGCGGATATGACACCTGGGCGGAGCTGCTGGAGGCGGTTATTACACAGCTGCATGGGGCGGCCAGAGGCGGGGGAACTTCATCAGCTCAGGACTATATTCAAGCGGAGAAGCACGTTTTGAGAGAAGCTCAAAGGGAGAGCTTTCCTGAGGAGTATCGGCTTCTTAAGCAGGGGAAGTCTGTCCGTCGCAGTAGTCGTCTCCTCGCACTGTCCCCTGAGTTTGACCGTGAAGATGAGGTTATCCGTGTAGGGGGACGTCTCCGCCGCTCTGAAGATCTTGCATTTACCAACTCGCACCCCTTAGTTTTGGATCCGACACATCCGGTCACCAGCTTGCTCAATCAGGATGTCGACAGTCGTCTGCATCATCCAGGGCCAGAGAGAGTTTTCGCGGAGATTCGGCGCACTCATTGGATCCTGAGAGGCAGGGAAGCGGTTAGGCGTTTCCAGAGGACCTGTCTTGAGTGTCGCAGATGGAAAGCCCGACCAGCGGTTCCCAAGATGGCTGACCTGCCAGTGGCGCGCCTTCGCCTTTACAAACTTGCCTTTTATTCGACAGGTATGGACTGCTATGGACCCTTTGAGGACAAAATCGGGCGCCGTGTGGAGAAAAGGTGGGGCATCATTTTTAAGTGCCTTACTATCAGAGCGGTCCACCTTGATGTCCTGACCTCCATCGACACAGATGCCTTCCTAATGGCACTTCGTCGGTTCGTTGCCAGGAGAGGGACCCCAGCTGAGTTGTACTCAGACCAGGGAACCAACTTCCGTGGAGGAGAAAGGGAACTCCAAGTAGCTTTCACGGCCATGACCGCTGACCTGCAGAAGCTCCTGGCTCCCCAGAAGATCATCTTCCACTTCAATCCACCAGCGGCTCCTCATTTTGGGGGAGTGTGGGAACGGGAGATTAGATCTGTCAAGACGGCGCTCTACACTACAGTAGGATCTCAACCCGTACAAGAGGAGGTCCTCCGTACGGTCCTTGTGGAGGTGGAGGGCATCTTAAACTCCAAACCACTAGGTTATGTCCCGTCCGACATCAGTGATCCTGATCCAGTGACCCCCGTTTTCTGATGGGGCGGCCTGATGGGGCGCTTCCTCAAGTCATTTACCCTAAAGAAGAGCTCCTGAGTCGCCGCAGATGGAAACACTCTCAGGTGCTGGCTGACCACTTCTGGTCTCGATTCATCCGATTGTACCTTCCAAGCCTACAGCTTCGCCCGAAATGGCAGTCATCCCCCATGGACGTCACCGAAGGTTTGGTGGTGATGATCATAGATCCTCAGCTATCCCGCGCTTCCTGGCTCCTGGGTCGCATCTCCAAGGTCCACCCCAGTCCCGATGGGCACATCAGGTCTGCTGACGTCAAGGTGGGAGACAGGACCTTCACCCGACCTGTGGCGAGGCTGGTGGTATTGCCTGCCCTCCCGGACGAAGACAAAGGACAGTCACAGTGACTTTATTAGAGAAGTTACCTTTTGTTGTGAGCAAATGTACTTCATACATTTGGGGGCGGCTGTACAAAAGGCCCCATAGTTTTGAGTTCTCCTTTCTATTCTGTTCAGTTGTTCACCTGTAGTTGCTTAGAGTGACCTGTAGATGTCACCCCACCACTTTGGATGGGAGAGGTTTTGGATAGGTGGATACGTGGGTGAAATCTATATGAGTGTGTTTGCTCCCGATTATCAGCAGAGAAGTGGTCATTTCGTGAGAAGTGTGCGTTACTGAGCAACGTAAGTCTGTGATGTATGAGGATGTGCGGATAAAATGTGTTTGTGACTAGTTGAAGTTAGAGGGAAGTGAAGATGTTTCTGTTTGTGTCATATCTGGAGCTAGATTTCAGTTCCTCCCTCTCTAAATACTGGTGAGCATATCGGTTAGTTTCAGTTGTGATGAGGGTCCAGAATTCCTCATCCAAAAAAACTGACAGAAAATCAATGTGTTCTGAATTTGACAGATCCCTGTCTCCACAGTATCCAACTGGCTCATCAAAATGCCTGATCCACTTGGAATACTGTTCCTCTTCTCCCAAACTAACCCAGCCATCATCATTATTATTGTCACTGAGGCTGTGATGGGCCACACCCCCTGCTAGCAGTGATTTTTTTCCCTGCGGTTCCTCCCCCTCCTGCTCCATTTCCCGCGGTTTACACCCCCGGGGCTGAATCGATCACCAGCGGAGTTTTCATCGGCCCGATCACCACCACCACATCCCTTTTAAATAATAAAATGTTTAGAAATTTTCACACAAAAAAGATGTGTTTAATAAAACCTTCATAGGTAAGCCAACAAGCACTGTTGTTGTTAATATCATGGTTAGGTGTTTGAATGACTGATCGTAACTACAACAGCTGTTACCTTTTTCTTCTTGCTGGAGCTGATTTTAGCCTTCACATCTTTAATCTGCTCCATCAGGTCGATCGTGGTGTGCAGAAGGTTGGTGTTTCTCCTCGTCTCCTTCATCAAAACCATCTGCGCCTCATCTACCTGTGTCTGATTGTACAGCTCAACATGAATACATTAATGATGGGTCTACCTAATTTCACAAGCATATAAACAAAACACCTCAAACTTCCAGAGGAGCAAATAAACAAACCTCCAAGTGTTTCATCTTGTCAGCATGAGCTGCAAGGAGGCGCTTCTTTTCCTGCTCCAGTTCCTCCAACCTGGTGCTGTCCGGCATCGTCAGCAGAGCCTCTAGATCCACTTTCCTCCCAAACCTTCTCATCATCAATTCATCGCACTGATTCTCTAGGTCTGCAGCAACCGATTCATAAAACTGACTGGATCTGACAACTGTGACACTTTAATTTACCCAACATGTATATTTACCCTGTTTTACCCTGAACCTTGACTGTTTTACCCTGAACCTTGACTGTTTTGCCTTGAACCTTGACTGTTTTAACCCTGAACCTTGACTGTTTTGCCCTGAACCTTGACTGTTTTGCCCTGAACCTTGACTGTTTTGCCCTGAACCTTGACTGTTTTAACCCTGAACCTTGACTGTTTTGCCCTGAACCTTGACTGTTTTGCCCTGAACCTTGACTGTTTTGCCCTGAACCTTGACTGTTTTAACCCTGAACCTTGACTGTTTTGCCCTGAACCTTGACTGTTTTGCCCTGAACCTTGACTGTTTTAACCCTGAACCTTGACTGTTTTAACCCTGAACCTTGACTGTTTTGCCCTGAACCTTGACTGTTTTGCCCTGAACCTTGACTGTTTTGCCCTGAACCTTGACTGTTTTAACCCTGAACCTTGACTGTTTTAACCCTGAACCTTGACTGTTTTGCCCTGAACCTTGACTATTTTGCCCTGAACCTTGACTGTTTTGCCCTGAACCTTGACTATTTTGCCCTGAACCTTGACTGTTTTGCCCTGAACCTTGACTGTTTTAACCCTGAACCTTGACTGTTTTGCCCTGAACCTTGACTGTTTTGCCCTGAACCTTGACTGTTTTGCCCTGAACCTCGACTGTTTTGCCCTGAACCTTGACTGTTTTGCCCTGAACCTCGACTGTTTTGCCATGAACCTCGACTGTTTTGCACTGAACCTCGACTGTTTTGCCCTGAACCTCGACTGTTTTGCCCTGAACCTCGACTGTTTTGCTCTGAACCTCGACTGTTTTGCCCTGAGCCTTGACTGTTTTACCCTAAACCTTGACTATTTTGCCCTGAACCTCGACTGTTTTGCCCTGAACCTTGACTGTTTTTCCCTGAACCTTGACTGTTTTACCCTAATCCTTGGCTATATTAGAACATAAATCCTGGGCGTTTTACCGTTAACCTTTATGGACTTTACTTTCTTATCCCGAAGGAGTCTGTCACGCTTTTTCAGATCTCGATGGAACTGGTCATTCAGCTTCTTATTATCTGCTTGTAGCTGTTGGATTTGCTCATCCATCCTAAACAGCTCCATCTTGTCCAATGCCAGGAATTCACTCAGATCTGACGGCACCGGGCCCTTGCAGGCCAACTGAATCTGGTAGAAATATGAAGATAGAGGAAGATGAAGCCAAGCCACTGCTGTAATGAATTTTGGGACTATATTAAAGGGGTGCTAGATTGCTATTTATCTTTGAGCTTTTAGAAAACATATAAAATTGTGTTGGAGCTTAAAATGTCCAAGCCCTGATAGATGGCTAAATAAAACACAAATAAGGCACATAAAAAATACCTCTTTTCCCCACCCACTCCACCAATGTGTGTGTGTGTGTGTGTGTGTGTGTTGGAGGATGTTTCAGCCAAGAGGAAAAGGGTTTGAAGAGACACGTGAAAGCAGAAACTGAAACTACAGTCAGGGTTTCTCAGTAAATCCCCACTCAAGCCTTAAATAAAACATTTTAATGGATCCCTTAATAAAAATGCTTAAAAAACAATTAATATTTGCACTAGATACAAATGATTTGAATTTATTTGATGTTTTTGCACCCTGGCACATGTTCTGTGTTAATTTTTTACACAAGTATACAAAAATATTAAATATGTAATGGGAACGCGGCTGTTTTCCGCTTGGTCCTAGTGCTCAACCAGGGTCTATTTAATATAGCGTAATATATTTGGAAGTGCAGGAGACAAAAAATGACTTTGGAAAAAGTGTGTGTGTGTGTGTGTGAGGATTGCCTTTTTCCACTTTTTAACCGACATAAAAATAGGTCGTACATGGCCTTGACTTTTTGGTATGCTGCATTTGATAACTCAAGCTGTCTTTATTCAACAAGGAAAATGTTGGTTTAGATTCTAGGTCCTCTTTAAAATAAAACTAATATGATTATTATGACTGTTGTTGTTGTTTTAAGAGCTAATATCTCACATATTTCTGAAATGTAAAACAAACTACTGTTAACTTCTTGTTAGCCTCTCAGCAGTAAAGGCTCTGATTGGTGGAAAGCTGCTGTTTACCTAAAGGAAAATAAATCAGTAAATAAATCTGTTGTGCGACTGAAGTTGATTTGTCTTCAGAGTTTGTTTACCTGGTTGAGTTTGAGGGGAATTATCACTTCCACTTCATTCATTTCCTGTTGTTTCTCCTGGTTCATTAACTCGATGTCAGCTTCTACCGCCCGCCGCTGGCTCTTCACTAGCTTCTCCTGGAAATCCCGACAGAAAACGCAGAGCAGGCTGTGACAGAAGAGCGCCATTTCACAGAGAACAGTGGAGGGGACAGAGGCTGACCTTCTCCTGGAGTGAGGTGATGTCCTTCTTCAGAGCCTCAACCACCTTCCTCTCCTTCACCTGCAGCTCCTCCAGCTCCACTCGATCGTGACGGAGCTGCAGAGTGCTTTTTAACAGCTCCGGCTTGCAGCCTGAGACACAAACACATAACACCGCTGAGATGGACTCAATCCAAACTGAATCTTGTACTGAGAATCAGAGCAGTTGTTTCTCTGTTTATGAACTTGATTTATTTAGTTGGACCATGATGGTTGTTTCTGAGGAATCAAACACCGCAGCACCAGATTCAGTCAGCTGACCTTTAGGGCGAACATTCAGAGAAGCTTCTCGTTTCTTCTTGCTGCTGTAATCATCACTGTCCAAGTCATCATCTGAGTCTTCTTCACCGTCTTCGGTTTCTAAAAACAAATTCAGGTTATAAAGAAGACAGGAAGAGAATGATGACCCATGTTGACCTTCCAGCACCTTCATGTAGAGGTGATTTTTCCATCTGCACTCGTTTGATTTTCTGTGTGAAGACTTTGGTAAGAAACTCTTCAAAAGGGCAGTTTTCTCCCAGTGAGGCCTGAAAGGCGTCAGTCAGAGCTCTCACTCTCTTCTTCAGATCAATCATCTCTGCTCCCTTCAGCTCCAGCTGCTGGTTGCACTCCTCCAGCTTCAGCTGTCCACACAAGGAAGAGACAGACCATTTCAAACCAGTAAACCAAAGTGAAACCAGAGCGACTGGTTGGCATTTCAGTACCACTTTAGGGGTTTTAGACCTAGTGGTGATGTTACGCATCATAAAAACTTCAAACAGAAATGTTGTCAGATCAGAACTTGGAGTGTGTTGTGAACAACTCTCGGCTAAAACATTAGGTTAGAATTTTTAGGTTTTTGGATTTGGAGCTAGCGATGCATGAAGTTACGATTTTTTTTTCAGTTTTTTTCTTCCCGTGTGCTGTCTGGCTGTGAAGCAAACAGATTTGATGTCTGAATGCTGGTGACAAGCCTTACAGATTTACTCTCAGGTGGAGCATCGAAGCGTCTGCTTTTAATGTCACGCCTGATACCTAAAAATGTATTGTTATTGTTTTTGAATGCATTGTAATTCCGACCAGACACGGAGTACGTTTACATGCAGCCAATATCCGGGTTATGATGGGGTTGAGGTCGGTATTCGGGTTTCTGAGTTGATCAGAATAACCCGTTTACAAGCATAAATAGAAAGAGTTAACCCTAACTTGCATAACCCGATTTAAATGCGGACGTTGGGGTAGCGTCAGGACGTATGGACTACGTCCAGATGCAATATGCGTCATTTCCGGTTCTTCTCGTTCCAGTATCCGTGAAAACAACAACATTTTTCCCAGTTCAGAAGAGATAGCGACCACGTTTGTTTGCGCTTTAGTTTCCTCGTCACTCAAAGTGTGGTGCTGTGCCGCGACTCGCCATGTTGCTCCCAACTTGTTGTTTACTTCCGGTGTTCTGGCGCATACAAGACGTCTCGCTACTCAAAAGACCAAGATTCCTTGCGAACAGAGCATGCACAGAACACACGCTTTGATGGGGATATCCCGGTATGCGTTTACACGACCAAACGTTCGGGTTAGAAAAGAGTTACCCCAGGTGTAGTAACCGGGTTTTTAAAAACCGGGTTATGAGCACATCCGGGTTTCTGGCGGTGTTTACATGGACCTGCGGAACCGGGTTATTGTGAATATTCGGGTTTTAAAAGGGTTACTGGCTGCATGTAAACGCACTGATGGAGTCAGAGGTGAAAGAGAAAGGAAGAGACAAAAGGTGTGTGTGTGTGTGTGTGTGTGTGTTGGGGGGGGTCCACAAAAATAAACAATAATGAACAAGAGTCTGCTTCTAGACCTGCAGAAAGAGAGAAGAAACATGGGACACAACAACAATACATCGGGAGCAAGCTATCACTGCGTCAACTTGATGAAGAAATATATAATCAACATTGTTTAACTGAACAATCACACGATAATAAATCACAGTGCATTTGGTGCCAACCACACCCTTAAGACCTGTGTTGAAGACCTGTGTTGAAGCCCAGGACTCAATGACCCGGGACCCTGGGGCGACCACCCCCCGCCGGGGACCCAGCAGAGCCCAGGGACCCAGACCCCACCAGGCAGCCACCAGGATTAGTCAGGCAGACGCCAAAAATCTTAAACTCCCTGACCCGGGAGCCACGACCCAAGCAGACCAAGGCACCGCACTCCACACCAGGTGTGGCAGGGGGAGAGGGGAGACGAAGAGGTGTGCTATGACCCCTAGTCTCCCTCCGCCTGCTCCAATATAGTGTTGTGTGTTGATGAGGTGTATGCCATGGCTGTGGTGAGCGGGCAGTGCGGGCATCGTCTGGCCTATGCCAGCTGATGACACCACCACCCCACTTGCAACCACAGCCCTTAGTGTCTAAGTGCAGTTTAAAATTGGAAGTGAGCACCGGCACTCGGGAGGAGGCTGAGAAATCCCCCTGCCAACTGCCGTTGAATGTGCTCACTCCCAAGGCCCTAAGTGTGTGTTTGCGTGGAATGTCGTTGGTGGAAGTGTTTAAGGTGCAAATAAAATTGGGAGGCAGGTTGCCACAGGAATGCAGAAATGGGGTCCATACCCGCACTCCCTGACTTGTCCACCCCCCAAAGTCCTATGTGCATGTTTGTGTGATGACGTGAGGGAGCAGGAGGAGAGAAATGTGTGGGGATGGGGAGGAATGGCTGGTTGGTCTTTGCCCTCCAGGGAGCCAGCTCCCTCACTGGCCCCAATAGGCACCTCTGTTGTCAAAATGCCACCCAGAGCATGGAGACCCCAGCCCATCCTGAGGCAACCCAAGCACCTCCAGCCAGTCCCAGACACCCCCAGTGAACCCACTTCCAGGGAACGTCCAGATACTCCAAACTCAGACCCTCAACCCCCTCATCCACATCATCCCGCAGGACAATATCAATGGTCCACCATCACCGCTATGTGATGGAACCGATCAAAGGAGCCCAGAGAGATTGATTTGAAGTGGAAGCAGAGGCTAAACCAAGTGTAATATGATCTAACAAAAGATTTCTATACTGGTTAATGCAGAGAGTTTCTCTATTTTTCCAATTCAAGAGGATAGTTTTCTTAGCGATGCATATGGCAGTCAGAACCACGTGAACAAAAGATGTTTCAATCGGGACATCGTCCAGGTTTCCCAGTAAACAAAGAGAGGGGGCGGTTGGGACATGACGGTTTGAGGGGCGGTATGACATTTCAGACACTTTGACAGGTCCTCACATACTCTACCCCAAAATTCCTGGACAGGTGGACAGGACCACAGTGCGTGAATGTAATTGTCAGGAATGTTGTTTGTGCAGTGTGTACAGGTGTCAGACGACACAAACCCCATCTTGAACATCCGATGACCTGTATAGTCTACTCTGTGTAGAATTTTGTACTGAATTAATTGTAAATTGGAGTGTCTGATCATTTTAAAAGTTTTTAAACAAGTTTGGGACCAGAAGTCCTGGTCAAAACGACTGATTGATCCACCTCCCATTTTGCAATTCTATAAAGTTACGTTTGAACATCGACGTTGTAATGCATGTGTGTGACGGTTCAACCACAGGTCCCGCTGCAATGTCCGACTCAACGTGTCCTCATCTGATCTTACTGTCAAGCAAAACGCTGGACTTTTCACACATCATCGACCAATAGGTTAACCCTCCCCACCTCATCAGCGTGAGGGTGTAAAGCTGCGCCTGTCGGATCAGGTTAGATGTTTACACATCAGGGTCGGTGCTGTGAAGGAGTGTCCTCACGGAGGTTACTGTGGAACCTTTGTAAGAAAGAGATGCATGAGGGGAACTTTGGACGTTTCCAGCGGTTTATTATGTTGAATGTGGACACAAGACTTGTTATGGACTACTGCTTTTGGGAGGACATTAATTGAATCCTTGTGGATGTAAAAAGACTGTTCTGTCAGTGATGAGTTGAGTGAGTTGGACGTTATTTTGCATTTGATAAAACCGTTGACGGTGTCTACACTTTGGATTTCATCGTGTTGCAGATAAACGCTGACTTGGCCCAGAAGAATGTAAATCATCACCGCTGTACACCAAAGGTTTTACGATCAGCCAGACAGCAGGAGGGATTTTCACATATCTGATGACATCAGAAAACTCCTTAAACCGGCTGCAGACGGTACAGAACACTGCTGCCAGGCTTCTGACCAAATCCTCCAGAGTCTCTCATGTGACTCCTCTGTTAATGCAGCTGCACTGGCTCCCCGTGGAGTTTAGGGTCAAGTTCAAGATTCTCGTTAGCCCTGCATGGACAGACTCTGGTGTACATTGGTAATTATCTGCAACTGTACACTCCACCCAGGTCCTTGAGGTCTTCTGATGAAGGCCTGTTCTTCCAGACTCGTAACTAAAGGAGACCGAGACTTTTCCCTCGTGGCTCCTAGACTCTGGAATTCTCTTCCTCTGTCTCTGAGGACTCTTTTAAAGAGCAAGTCACCCCGAAATCAACTTTATTTTTCTGATAAACTATATAAATGTGTGTCTAATCGTGCTGCAGACACGTGTAGTCAATAGTTTTGCACTTTAGTGCATTTTAGTTCAAATTTGACTTTTCTGCCTAAAACTGCCAGTGTTGTGCCGTTGTCAGGTAAAAACTCTGCACTGCGCTTGAATTTAAATCTGCCATCGCTATTGGCTAAGAGGTACCCTAGATCGTTAGCTGGTACCATACGATGTCACAATGTCGTTGTGAGTCTGTGTGTGTGTGTATTTGTTAGTGGCTCCGCCCTCTCGGTCTGCTAGGCAACAGCATTTGTTGCACTTTTCAAACAGGAAGTGGGAGTTGAGCAATACTCTGGTAGGGGGTGACTTGCTCTTTAAAAACAGCTAAAGACTCACCTGTACAAAGCTGCCTATGTTTGAATTTTTGCTCGTTTATACCGTTTGTTGATGTCTTTGATTATTTTCTTGATCTATGTTATATTTCTTAAATGTTCTTTTATGTGAAGCGCTTTGTGCTTTTTACCTTGACAGGCGCTACACAAATAAAGTTTTTTCTTACTTACTATAAAAACACCATGGAAGGTTCCCCCTCACACTAGGGAGCAGCCCTACTTGGGCAGTCTGCTTTGTGGTTTTAATGAAGCTGGAGTTTGATGTCATTTCATGATTAATGGCGGTGATTATGTTCTGATCAGAAGGGCCTGAACTCCACCAGCGACCGTTCTTGGTTTTATTTCCACTGAAGTATTTTTATTTTTTACCAGAACTTGGTTCTCCTCCTGGAGGCACTTGGACAGCTTCTCCTGCAGCTTCTCCTCCCTCGTCTCAAAGCGTTTGAGCACCAGCACCTCCTGCTGGAGCTTCAGCATCTGCATTTCCATCAGCTTCAGCTGAATGTCCAGATGTAGTTTTTGTTCATACAGTTGATGGAGCTCAGCATCAAACTGAGTCACAGAAGAGTTTTCCAGCTGAAGATTACAGAAGAGGTCCTTGTTAGTCAAAGCTCCTACTTAATCAGCGATGAACTATTAACGAATGATGATGACCTGCTCCACCAGACAGCTCTGTTCATGACACAGTCGGATCTCCTCCTCCTTCTGCAGTTCCTTCTCCATCTCGTCACCCACCTCCTGCCCCTTTGTCCTTTTGCTTTGCCCCGTTACAGCTGAAGACGACACGGTTGAGGTTTCTGCTCCTTCATCCTTTTGTTTTCCTTTCTGTTCTTCAGCCTCCATTTCTTTCTCCAGGAGCTCCAGCATACTCACAGCCCCGCCCTGCTGCTGTGCACCCATCAGCCTGTTTGAGAAGGAAACAGGAAATAGCGAAGGTCAGTTTAAATTTGGACCCGTTTGTCAGGAAGTGGATTGGGATGATTTCAGAAATACAAGAAATTAAAAATTTAAACCCAGAATTTAAAGTAAACTAATTAATTTACCACCAACACAAGTTTTATCTGCAAAGTAATTATGAATACTCCACCTAGGCTCCTCCCCTTTCTCACTTTTGGCTTCTCCATGGCCCCCCTTCACTTCCCTTGGCTCCCCTCCCTATCCCCCACCCCTGACACCTCTCTAGGCCCCTCCCCATCCCTCACCCATGACTCCTCCCATTGCTCACGACTCCTGACTCCTCCTCAGGCCCCTCCCCTGCTATACACCTTTGCTCCCTCAGTTTCATGTATTTCTCCACAGCGATGCGGCTGCACTGCAGTTTCCTCTCTGGGGTTTCCGCAGGTAACAGGGTGGGAGGGGTAGGTAGCGGGAGGCGGAGTTGAGGTGGTAGATGCTGCTGGATTTTCTGCAGCTGCTGGATCTGAGCATCAAACCGAGACACCAGCTGAACCTTGGAATCCCTCAAAGCTACAATCTTTCTGTTCATCTCAGTTTGCTTTGTGCGGATCTGTAAGGATGAAGGTAAACGTTACATTAGCTGTCAGCCTTTTTTTACATAATAAAAAGTGAGTCTGGTTTGTTTTTATTGTAACGTGACCTTTGGTGTCCTGAAAGGTGTTTAAAAATGAACTGTATTAGAATTAAACCACCTGATCAAAGCCACTTCAGATTATCAACAGAGAGCTGATGTGTGAGTTTATACTTTGACTTCTAAGGAAATCAGCTCTTCCTCCTTCTCCTTCAGGGTCATCACTGAGGTTTTCACTCCATCGATAGTCTCTCTGGCCTGAAGGATGCCCTGGACCAGTTCTGAATCCTCGTAGTTCTTGCCCGGCTTCTCTGCATAACTGAGACACAAACAACATCCCAAAGGTTACGGCTGATCTTACTGCCCACCCAGGCTGAAGCTTGTTTCTGCTTTAGCGGGTAGGTTGGCTCTAGACTCACATTTGGGCCCATTCCTGCCTCCTTGCTGCAAATTTAGCTTGAGCCACTTTTGCCCTTTCTGCAGCCTTTTGACGGTTCTCTTTCGGACGAGCTCCCAGCTGAAGCCTGGCTTTATGGAGCGACTTCTCCTTCTTGGATGGAAGGGAGGCTGAAGGCCCTGGTGCAGGCTCAGAGGAGTCACTGACCGCTGTTCGGGGGCAGTCTTCCTCAGCTTCTGCTGGGGATTGGTGGAGATTGTGTGTAGCTTCAGTTCCTCCATCAGGAAGGTCAGATCCGCTCTCAGCTGAGACCTGGGGTGAAGCCTCTGAGAGCGACGGCAGACGGTACGTAGAAACACAGCGGCTGCTGCCAATCGCATAAAGAGTCACAACATCTCCCCCCACAAAGTCTGCAAACCTGAGAGAAGAGGAGTTAGAACCAGTACCGCCCTGACCCAGTCTAACCAGTACCGCCCTGACCCAATCTAACCAGTACCGCCCTGACCCAATCTAACCAGTACCGCCCTGACCCAGTCTAACCAGTACCGCCCTGACCCAATCTAACCAGTACCGCCCTGACCCAGTCTAACCAGTACCGCCCTGACCCAATCTAACCAGTACCGCCCTGACCCAGTCTAACCAGTACCGCCCTGACCCAATCTAACCAGTACCGCCCTGACCCAATCTAACCAGTACCGCCCTGACCCAATCAAACCAGTACCGCCCTGACCCAATCTAACCAGTACCACCCTGACCCAGTCAAACCAGTACCGCCCTGACCGGGTCTAACCAGTACCGCCCTGACCCAATCTAACCAGTACAACCCTGACCCAATCTAACCAGTACAACCCTGACCCAATCTAACCAGTACCACCCTGACCCAGTCAAACCAGTACCGCCCTGACCCAGTCTAACCAGTACCGCCCTGACCCAATCTAACCAGTACAACCCTGACCCAATCTAACCAGTACCACCCTGACCCAATCTAACCAGTACCACCCTGACCCAGTCAAACCAGTACCGCCCTGACCGGGTCTAACCAGTACCGCACTGACCCAATCTAACCAGTACCGCCCAGACCCGATCTAACAGTACCGCCCTGACCCGGTCTAACCAGTACCGCCCTGACCCAGTCAAACCAGTACCGCCCTGACCCAATTTAACCAGTACCGCCCTGACCCGATCTAACCAGTACAATCCTGACCCGGTCTAACCAGTACCACCCTGACCCGGTCTGACCAGTACCACCCTGACCCGGTCTAACCAGTACCACCCTGACCCGGTCTGACCAGTACCACCCTGACCCGGTCTGACCAGTACCGCCCTGACCCGTCTAACCAGTACCACCCTGACCCGGTCTGACCAGTACCGCCCTGACCCGTCTAACCAGTACCACCCTGACCCGGTCTGACCAGTACCGCCCTGACCCGTCTAACCAGTACCACCCTGACCCGGTCTAACCAGTACCACCTTGACCCGGTCTAACCAGTACCGCCCTGACCCGGTCTAACCAATAGAAGAGATAAGAAGCCTGCAGAATCTGCAGACGTGTTTACTTCAGCTCCTACCGTTTGTGCTCTAAATCCTCTCAAAACCTTAAAACCTGTTTGTTCCTGTCACTGATCTCTGGATTCTGTGATTTTGTTGGGTCTTTGTTTATTTTTTGGATTCTTTAACTTCTTGGATCTTTATTTGGAATACAAATCTTTTGGATCCGACAGAGGCAGCTCAGCTAAAGTGTAAGCAACCTTGAAGCTATCTTGAATGTCTGTCCTCCCGTTCCTTCTGCCCCACAATGACACCTTTATGCTTTCTAAAGAAAATGAAAGAACTGAAAACATTAAAGAGGACATACGACGACTCTCTGCTGAACTGCAAAAGAAGCAAATGCTGCTTTAGACCTCATATTCCTTTACTTTGGTTTTGGTTTAATCGATAATTTTAACCTGTTTTGAAACCGTTTCTCCTTTCTTCAGACGAGACGGTATTCACCCTAACCGACATGGCTAAAACATGCTAACCGCTAACATCCGGTATGCTGTGCAGTCCCATAGATATGCATCTATGGTGGATTCCCTTTCACAGGCATGACGGTTTACATCCCAGAGATCTTCACCTTCTTCGGCCATCGTTCACACCACCACTCCAAATAACGTCATTCCTGCAGTCCTCCCATGATGCAACAGTCCTCTGTGTGTCTTCCAAAGGTCACAATCCCCAGAATTTTGTCTTCTGCTGACAAAAGTTTCCCTATTCCAGTTTATTTATCAACCAGCAGTGACATTAACTGTATTCATGGCCGGAGAACCCAGAAACACACCAGATGTTGACGACCCATCCCTCTCCGACAGGTGAAGAAGACAAAATGTTCTCCAGGATTCTGTTCAGTGTGCCCTAAATGCCCGCTCCATCTCTAACAAATCCTTTATTGTAAACGAGCTGTTCCCCAGAGAAAAGTTGGACTATTTATTTCTTATAGAGACGTGGCAGCAAGATGAAAATTATGTACACTTCAATGAAATATGTCCACCAAACTGCTGTGTTTACCACACCACGCCCGTCACGCCGTGGTGGAGGTCTAGTTGTGGTCTTTAAGGACAAACATGTCTGTAATCTGGTGAAAAATGGCCCTTTTACAACTTTTGAATGTCAGGTGATCAAAGCAGGGTTACAAAATGTATTCCACTGTATTTTAATCTACCGACCGCCCGGTCCAGCTGGCCTTTTCTCTCTGAAATTGCAGATTTTATATCATCAGTGACCAAACTAGAAAAAGTTTTAATCCTTGGGTGACTTTAACTTACACATTAATGATCCTAATTGTAGCACAGCAGTGGAGTTCATGTCTATTATGGAGTCTTTCAACTTAGAGCAGCACGTTTCAGGCCCCACACACAAAATGGGACACACTCTACATCTTGTTTTCTCTTTGGGACTAAATATCAATCATTTACATGTGGAAGAGGTTCATGTGAGTGACCACAGCTGCATTTTCTTTAATGTCCTATCTAATGTTGAATCTGTCCCTCACAAAAGAGACGTATCATTAATCAGTCAGCAGTGGATGGATTTTCTAGATTATTTGACAGCAGCTCAGTTCAGGGTGATGATCCAAGCTCGTTCATCCAGTCAGTGGATAAACAATGCTGCAGTATCTTAGATAAAGTGGCTCCTGTTAAGCAGATCATTTTATCTAACACAAAGGAAATGTCATGGTCTGCGTCTGCCCCTTCCTTTATGTGCCTCCAGGTTTTCTCCAACCCTCTCTAGATCTCCTTTTGTGTCCTCTAACGCCCTCAGGTGTCGTGTCTGCATCCTCATATCCCTCCTGGTGTTCTCCATTCCCCTTTAGTTCCCTTCTGTGTCTCATAGCGCCCTCATGTGTCTTTTGTCTGCGTCTCTATATTGTGTCTTCTGTTTGTAGGCCCTCATATTATCCCCTCAGGTACGGTGTTTTATTTAGTCATCCTCAGCCTCCTCCAGTCTGTAGCTCCAGCCTTCCCCAACTCTGTGTGTGTGTGTGTGTGTCCTGCCCAGTTAGTGTTTGTGTATATTTGTGTGTATGTGTGTGCTCCCCAACTCAGTGTATGCGCGTGTGTGTGTGTGTGTGTGTGTGTGTGTGTGCGCCTGTGTGTGTATTATGTCCTCCTCCAGATTGTTTGTGTGAGTCCTTCCCTCAGTCTCTAGGTTTAAATGTTGTATTTTAGGTTTATCTGCCCTTCTCTGTTCTGTTTCCCCAGTTGGAGTATAACCCCGGCTTTCCACAGGAGCCGTCAGCAGCACGTCATAGCTGCTGATAGGAACCGCTGTGGTCAACAGAACCTTTTCCACTGGAGCCGTCAGCAGCCGTCAGCAGCGCGAGTCGGCCGCGTCTCAGGAGCAGCATGTCGCAGCCTTTACGCGCCGGTTCTATTTTCTACGCACGACGCCTCTGAAACGGGTCAAGTTCCACATTTTTGGGAAAGGAAAGACAGGAAATCGGACGCGGAAATGGAGAGAAGCTTCCGAGATTTTCAAAATAAAGAACGTACTGCCTTCCGGTTGCTTTACTTTTAAAAAAGGTTACTGACTGTGCGGCCCCTTGAGAAGTTATCACCTAGCTAGCGGTCTCCTTTGTTTTTCAGGTCCGTATTGGTGATTATAAAACGGACAGAACATAAAACACAAACCATGATGTAGTTTTCTCCTGCTTGTTGTTGTGTTTACTGACGAAGTCACTCGTGTGACTTCGTGCTCTGTCGGTGACAGCTGCTCCCCTGCTGCTTTGCGTCTCGTGGGAAGGGCCAAGCAGCAGCTTACGCAAGCAAGACGTGCTGCTGCAGTAACGTGCTGCTGACGGCTCCCGTGGAAACCCGGGGTTATAGTCACCTGCCTTCCCTCCAGCAGCTCACCCCACACACCTGCTTCCTGTTTCCCTGATTGCTCCTCCCAGTGCATTCAAGCCCTGTCTGTCTCTGTGTTCTTGTCGGTCATCTCATATAGGTAAAATAATGGAAAGGATGGTAGTGGATAGATTAACGGATTATTTAGAAAGAAATAAAAAGATATCTCAGCATCAAAGTGGTTTTAGGAAAGGGAGAGGCACGATGGATGCAATTGTTTTTTGGAAACAGAAATTAGAAAAGCATTAATCAATAAAGAGAGTTTAGTAGTAGTCTTTTTTGATGTAGAAAAGGCCTATGACTTGGTGTGGAAGGAGGGATTGTTAATAAAGCTTAAAAATTTAGGAGTGGGAGGAAGAATGTATGACTGGATTAAGGATTTTTTGTAAAAATAGGAAGTACATTTTCTAGGGGGTGTAAAGTAGAAAATGGCACTGCTCAAGGAAGTGTCATTAGTCCAATATTATTCACTATTATGATAGATGATGTGTTTCAGAATGTGGGGAATGAGTTTGGTAAGGCTTTTTTTGCAGATGATGGACCAATATGGAAGAAAGGGGAAAATATCCAATATGTGCAAAAGAAAATTCAGGAAGCTATTGCTAAGTGGAAAGCTGGTCTTATGATTGGGGTTTCAAGTTTTCAGTGGAAAAAACTAAAAGTTTGGTGTTTACTAAAGGCAAGAAGGTAATGGAGAATTTAACATGGTATGGACAAGAGTTGGAGCAAGTAGATAAGTTTAAATATTTGGGAGTGATATTTGATAAAAAGTTAATATGGAAGGATAATATAACTAAAATTGAGAAAAGATGCCAAAAAGTAATAAATATTATGTATTTGTATGTATTTATGTATTTAGCAGACGCTTTTGTCCAAAGCGACTTACAAGTGATAATCGGCATTTTGCCCTTGAGGCTAACAACAATAGTAACAACAACAAATTGACATCAGTCATGGAGAGGAGGGAACAAGGAGTGGACAGTAGAGAGGAGGGACGGGTGCAGACAAGGTGCTAGTTAAGAAGATGCTCTCTGAA